AAGCCTGGCGGCATGACTTGACTGACCTCTGCCCGCACGGTGCCTGAAAATAAACACACTGGCGGCCAGCCAACGCACCCAACCGGGTTCGTGGGAATAGGGGGCCACGCAAATCAAGGACGGGTGCAACAGTGTTGGCTGACTGCACTGCAGTGTGCTTGCTTGTCTGGGTGCCTACTACCACCTACCTAATATGGACATGTGCCTACGTAATTGTCTGCCCAGCCTGTATTCCGTATACGGTGGGATTTCCCAGACTCGCCACACGGCCCTCTGAAGCGCTGCACATCTCAATGTTCTGATGTTGGTTGCATCTCACTTTTGACTGTCCTTCTTTCTTGACGGTTTGCCCTTTGCCGCGAACATGGCACGACGCCACATTTGACCATGTCCAAGCTCGACTCGAACCCGGCCTCCATGCCTATTTGGTGACAGACTCGGGAATCCGGAGCGACCATGCTTCAAGTCGACTAGGCCTTCTTTTCTTTTCTTCCTGCCAGCATTAAACCTGTTTCAATCTGCCAAAGAGAGACGACGACGACGACTGGGCGAGCTCCGGTGGTGTCTGCATCAGAGAGCGTGAATAGGCCTAAACAAACAAACGCGGAGCGAGCAATAAGAGAGCAAGGTCTTTCGATTTATTGAACACTCCCCTGGAAGTCTCCAAAGCCAGCTCGGTGCGGGAGATTGCTGGTAAACTCTCTGCCCCAGAGACCAAGGGCCCTTCCTGTGCCCTTTTGCCTCCTATTTTGCTTCCGGCGGCCCAAAACATGACAAATAACATGACAAACAACATGAATGGACGAAGAAGCGATTGAAACAAAGAAAGACTGATTGTTGACATTAGGGTCGGCCAGACTTGATTAGGGCTGTGAGCTGAGCGAGTGAAGTGAGGTCCGGGATCGGGATCGGATTAAGAATGCGCACGGAATCAAGAAAAAACACAAAACTCTTTAGTCATGCCAGAAAATATTGCATTAAATCAGCAGTGCTGCCGTGCAAGCGAACGGAATTAGAGAGCATCGCATCGAAACGCGCCGGATCCTTGTGTCGGCGAACCTTGTCTTCCCGCGTGCACCACAGAGGCTGCTTTTCACTGGCCCGCCTAAAGAAACCCGAACCCTTCCCAGCCGGCGCTGAATACTGTGGTAAGTTTTACGCAGCCAAGTCGGTGATTGAGTCGGTGACTGAGTCGCCCGATCAAGGGCAGCCAATCACAGCCAACGCCGGCATGCCAACGCCGTGGGGCTCCGTGGACTGCCACGGCACTCCGTGGCCCATTCAACCGCCTCTTCTCGCTAAAACCAAACCTGCAGCCTCCCTCTTTGCGCCTTCAATTCGCCCACCCAGGCCGATCAAGCAAATCAGAAGGCGCTAAAGTAGCCTAGCATGGCTAGCTCAGATTTGGTTAATTGCACACACCTCGTGCCGGAGAGTAAATTGCATTTCAAAGCCATCGATTTGTCAGTCTTTGGAACCACCAAAGCCCAAGATGCGGCGAGGAATTCGATACACTTAATTCTCGTATATATAGACAGTCTCTTTGCTCTGTGAGGGGTAGTTTTCTTTCCTTGCAGTATAGACTATCATCACCACCACGCTCCACCCCTACCTTGACAGCCAACAACCAACAGCAACAACCAAAAACACCAAGACTATTTAACTACACACCGTCTTCTCCTATTCACAGAACCGTGACTACCACTCCTGCACAATGGCTTCGACACCCACAGTCATTCTCATCACAGGTGCCAACCGCGGTATGCCACCCCCCCCCCCCCCCCCCCCCCCCGACCACGCCATGCCCCTTCCCGAATCCCACACACCAATACCAAGCTCTAACCCCCACAGGCCTCGGCCGCGGACTGGCCGAAACCTACTTGGCACGTCCCAACGTGACCCTCGTAGCCGGCGTGCGTGACCCATCATCCGCGAGCGCGCTCAGCCTGTCCTCAGCACCAGCCGGCGCCGGGAGCAAAGTCGTGCTGGTCAAGATCGACAGCCAGTCGGACACGGACGCAGCCGCCGCCGTAGCCACCCTCAAAGCCCAAGGCATCACGCACATCGACGTGGCCATCGCCAACGCGGGTGTCGCCAACATCTTCGGCCAGGTCCACGAGATCGCGCCCGCCGACCAGCGCCGCTTCGTCGAGATCAACACCCTCGGCCCGCTTAAGCTGTACGCCGCCGTGCGCCCGCTGCTGCTGGCTGCCGCTGCTGCTGGCAGAGGTACCCCGAAGTTTGTCGGCGTGAGCACCATGGCGGCGACCACGGGCGAGGTCGAGATCACCGTCCCCTTCCGCAACGGCGCGTACGGTGCCAGCAAGGCGATGCTCAACCACCTGCTGCGCCGCGCGCACTTTGAGTCGGAGGGAATTGCGGTTTTTGCTGTTGACCCGGGGTGAGTTGTTCTCCGCATTGAATAGAATAGTCAAAATGGTGTGAGACTGACAGGGCCAGATTCTTCGACTCGGACATGGGCAAGGAAGGCGCCAGCATACTCGGCTACGACGGGCCGCTAACCTCGCTCGAGAGCGTGGTTGCGGGGACCGTGCAAGAGGTGTGTGAAACATTTCGTTCTTTGTGGTTGGTATTAATGACTAGCTAACACTCTGCCTCGCGAATCCAGATCGACAACACCACCCGCGAGAGCGCGGGGTCGAAGGACGGTTACATTGGTTGGGAGGGCAAGCGGCTGGCGTACTAAGCGTACTTTAAGGGGATTGCCCGCCAAGTGGCTTTGACTAATTGAGTGGACGAGAGAAATATTTCACCCTGAAATAGGGGAAAGGGGTCTTTTTTCCTATGTTAGGCTTAGAGCAAACAGCGGGATATCAACAAATACAAGGAATTTATTGCTTCGCTTTAATTGGGGCCCTTAAAATGTTTGTTGTATCTGTGTAGGAATTGCACGCTACCTAGCAACGGAAGTCAGGAAAGGGAACTGAACGGCCCTCCGGGGGCGCCTACGCTCGAAAGTTGACAACAGTAATGCCTGATCCCCCCCCCCCCCCCCCCCTCTTCCTTTCCATCTCACCAAAACACGCCGACCACATCCCAGCCACCCATGCCATCAGCAGATAAACCCGTCCTTGAGCGCCTTGGCCCACGTCGTGTGCGCGAGCCTGCACTTAAAGTTATCCTCGCGGATGGCCTCGGTGCAGACCGCCGGGCCGCTCTCCGCCCTCCGCATCTCCACGCCACTATTAACACACGGCCGGATAGTACACCTCGCCAGATTGCGCGCCTTGGACTCGTCGGCCGTCAACACGCGAAAGCAGCTAGCCGCATTCAGGAGCACCACGCCGCGCTCGAACTGCAGCTCGAGCATGCCCGCAGGGCCACCGCCAACCACCGGCACAGGCGCGCCGTTCGACGGGTACCCGAGCGCGGCGATAGCTGGCTGCGAGCGCCACAGCTGGTAATACCGAATTCCCTGAGGCGTGAGCAGGCCGCCGAGACGGCCCTCGACGGCATCCGCCTCGCGCTCCATGTCGTTGCCGGCGTACTTGAAGCCGGCCGCGCACCAGCCGTACAGATACCGCTCGCCGAACTCGTGCAGGCGCCAGCCGCGGTCGCGGTACTGGCGGCAGTGCACCAGCTCGTGCAGCAGCAGGCTGACGGTGGAGAAGAAGTCGTTGCTCGTGGGCGTGGCGGAGGCTTCGTAGCTGTCCACGTACACGTCGCGGCCCATGGTGACGCCGTGCGCGGAGAAGCCAGGCGCGAAGTTGGCGCGGTAGTGGATGCGGATGCCGTCGAGCACGAGGTCGCCGACGAAGGGATACAGAAAAAAGTTCTGGTCGGCGTTGGTGGTGGCCGGCGGCCCCGGGTTCAGCGCGGCGAAGATGTCGGCCGACGTGTCGTAGAAGGGCACGAGGGTCTTGGCGACGACGGCGCACACGGCCGGCTGGAAGAGTTTGGCGATCTCGGACACGACGTCCGAGAAGGCCTCGCCAATGTCCTCGACGGTCGGCCGCAGGTCCTCGTCGATGTCCTTGAGCGCGTCGCTGACGGCCCCCGCCACGTCCTTGCCTGCCTTTTCGGCTTGGTCGACGATGTGCGTGAGCTTCTTGCTGATGCCCTTCGCCCAGCTGCGCCGCTTTGCGAGAAGGTGCGCGCTCGTGTCTGCGCGGGAGTGAAGCGAAATGCTAGTGTCACCGGCCTGCGTCTGCGGTGCTGCCGCGACGAGGTGCAGGCAAGCCGCGGCCGCGACCAGGGACCGAAGAAAGGATTTCATGGCGTCTGATTAGCGAGTACGAGAAACTGTCAAAGAAGTTGAGATGTCTGGAGCCAGTCAGGTCATGGACCTGGACCAGTAGCATGATAAACAGAGTCCCCAGGGAGAGGCGGGTCCAGTTTTATACGACCCAACTGCCCATCAATACCAGCTCTCCGACTGCCATACTCCGCATCACGTCCGAGACTGCTGCCTCGAACCCGCACGCACCGCCCGCCTCGCCCTTCGAGAACCTGAAGCAAACAACTTCCAATCAAACCCCCGTAACGACTTGCAGAGGTGACGACGAGGCCTCGCAGCACAGAATCCCTACGCAGCCCTACCGGCCAGGCCAATAGCGACAAGAGACAAAGCCAAGCGGTGCCGAGCCGACCGCGCCCCGCTGTGCGATTCCGCAAGGTACGGGCAGCTGACGGCTGCCAAGGGCTTGGGAGCAACTGGCGCTGTGAGGCTGGATGCTCGACAGCGAGGGCCGCCGGCTGATTGGCTGCCGTGTCAGTGCTGTCGACCGTTGCCAAGCGAGCCACTGCGCTGCACGATTGGCCCGGTGCGAGGCGGCCTTAGTTTTTGTCTAGACCAAGAAGAATTTCTGGGAGTCAGTTGCAGGCGTGAATCAATTGTGCGAGGGTTTAGTTCTTTGCATGGAAGGTAACCATGCTTGGTTGGTGGAGAAGTTGGGACAAGCACCCGACCCGGTCCCGCGACCAAAAAACACGGGCGGCTCCTGCCAAAATGATGAAAGGAAAAAAAGACAAAAAGATAACTCTCCCGCCGGGAATTGAACCCGGGTCCCGAGCGGCGCCGGTTCCGGAGAACGGTGACAAGCTCATATACTGACCACTATACTACGGAAGATTTGGGTAAGGTCAATGGAAACGGGGACTGGTGGGTCGGATAAAACCTAATTAGAATGAGAAAATCGGGATGAAGAGTCTGAAGAAAGAACGAGTTTCGAGCGTAGCGAGCAGCCCGCCGCAGGCGCCCCCGGAGGGCCGCCAGAGGCAAAAAGGAAAGAAAGAAAGAGAAAGGGCCGTTCAGCTGACCCCATCCTAACTAGTTAGGTTACGTGTTTTATTGCTTTGACATGGAATGGATTTTAGTTGGTTTATTTCTGTAAGACTGCCCGGATCACTACAGTACAGAATGTAAGGGGACGACGCAACCGAGTGTCGATGTAACCACGCCAGAACAAAGCACTTGCAAACAACCACACAGGCTGCGTGTGACTGAAGACGGTTGTTCAAGTGCGGCTTGACAGGAGCATGTATTTCCTGAATAGATGGTCGCATTGCCTGGAAAGAACCCGAGTCAGTGTCTGTCGTCTCTCCGCAACTCCCTGATGTCGTTTGATGGCTGATCCCGCAGCCATAGTTAGCAGCTGCTTAGTGAGAGCTTTGTGGGAAACTCACTGAAATTGCTATCAACAATTGAACTTGAGGCAGGGGGCCAGCGTTTCCAATGGTTCGGGTCTCCGAGCTTCGCTAGCATTGGAGAGAAACGCTGTTTGTCCTGCGTCATGTGGTACCGGAACTGCCCTGCTGGGACGACAAACTCGACAGCGAATTGTGTCCGTTCTCGCATCGGTCCGAGGGTGCGCAACTGATGCAAGCACAAACTTTCATCGCCAAATCCGTGCCGTGCCGTGCCGTGATTACCTATCCTCCTTCCCCAAGCCTTCCGCACAAGTCACCACAGACGGTATGCCCCATGTGCAGGGTCTGCAGGGTCTGCAGGGTCTGCAGGGTCTGCAGCAGCAACGGCTACCGCAGATGTACGTGAACCAGCGGCGCGCATGGATGAGCTGGCTACGCGAGCCGCGACGGCATCCCCGCGCGCCTGCCGACCAGCCACGTCTCGACGCTATCGCGGCCGTACGTCATCTCGAGCACGGCGCGGGCGAACTCGTCGATCTGGTCGGGCGCGGCCTCGTCCATGATGCGCCAGGCGTCGCCGCGGCGGACCATGAGCAGCACGGGCGACGTCTTTCTATTCCCCCCACCAGCACCAGTAGCAGGCCTGCCCTCGACAGCAGCCAGCCAAGCAGCCGGCGACGGCGCGTCCCACAGGCCAGCCTTGGCGGAGAAGGGCGCGTCGACAATGTATCGCGGGCGGCCCGTCTTGAGCGCCTGGAACGCCGACTGCATCAGCTCGGCGGCCAGGTACACGCGCCGCACCGACTCGGCCAGCACCCACGCCGTGTGCGCCAGCGCCGGCGACCCGTTGCTGCCGCCCGCCACCGCTGCCGTGAACACCGTCTGCTGCCGGTTGGCAATGTTGCCGCAGCTGTTGCCGCACACGTCGCGCGTCATCATGACCGACGCGATGTGTGTTGGCGGCCCTGGCCCCGGCGCCGGCGCTGTGGCGGGGATGCTGGATACGGACGTGGGTACCGAGTCTGTCGGCGTGATGGAGCTGTTTGTGGTCGTGCTGCTGGTGCTGGTGCTGGCGCTGGTGCTGGCGCTGGTGCTGGCGCTGGTGCTGGCGCTGGTGCTGGTGCTGGCGCTGTCGCCGCGCTGGGTCTGCTGCGTGTCGGGCTCGTTCGCCCCGTCCCCGTCGTCGAGACAGAGGCTGTTGACAAAATACAAGCGGGCGGCAGCAACAGCGTCAAGACGGGTGCTCTCAACAAGCTGGCAGGCCCACTTGTGGAGCATCTCGACGTGCTGCTCGCCGAGGGCGCGCGAGCGGATGTCGCCGTCGAAGAGCAACACCAGCTGGTAGACGAACAGGGCCTGGGTGCGCGTCAGGTGGTCGCGCGTGTCCATGGCGATGCACGGCGCGCCGTGCGGGCAGAAGGGCACGCCGTTGGCCACGTCGTGCGGGCAAAAGTCGATGCCGGCCTCCACCTGCGCCTGCTCGAGCTGCCGCTGCGCCTCCACCAGCTGCCGGGAACGGTCCTGCACGATGCGCAGCGCCACGCCCTTGGCGCTGCCGTGGGCCGCCGCGGCGTGGTAGGCGGCCAGGGCCGTCAGGGCGTCTTGGGTTACGGCGGGAATCTCGTGCGAGTAGAGGTGGCGGTGGATGAGGACGCTGTGGCCGTCGGCGGTCCAGGCCTGCATCCACGTCTGCAGCAGAGACACAAAGTGCGCCAGCGTGTCGTCGCTGGCGGCCGGCTTCTTGTCGGCGTCCGAGTGCAGGGGGTAGAGGCCGTACTGGCGCGGCCACGTGTCGGGACAGATGAACCAAAAGTCGTTTGTGATGCCGATGGGCGAGTCGACAGGGTCCGCCTCCCTGCCCGCATCGACATCGCTGCTCTGTCCGACGCTCCAGCTGGCATCCGGCGCCACCGGCTGCTGCAGTGAGGGTCTGCCGGATAGATAGATTAGCGGTGGCGTGGTGCAGGGCACGTCATCGTCGGAGCCGGCACTGCGGTGCCGATGTCGTGAACGTGCGCCCGCGTCTGCATCCGCATCTGCATCCGCATCTGCATCCGCATCTGCATCCGCCTCTCCGTCCTCTCCCGCACCCGCACCCGCACCCAGGCCCAACAAAGCTTGGTCAATCTGGACGAGGCCTGAGCGCCCAGACGTGCCTTGGAGCTGGTCCAGCAGATGGCGCAGCGGGTTTCGGAGCGGAGGGTAGTGGCAGGCGACGCCCGTCTCCAGGCAGCGGGCGCAAAAAGGGGCCGACTTGTCGCATTTTCGCTTCAGCTTGGTGCACCGCAGACACGCCTTGCGCTTCAAGCTACGCCTGCCTGCCGCGGGTGCTGTGAGTGTGTTAGGCGGGGCCATGGCAGGTGTACTCCGTAACTGCGGATATGCCGTGCTGGCTGTGTGCTGGCCGGGCCTGGACGCATAGGTCAAGTAGGGGGAGGGCCATAGGGTTAGCCGTGGTGAGTGGAATGTTGATGACTGAGAACCGGCAGAGGCGGATATTCTCTCACGTAACCCGCCTTTTCTCCGCTGCAGTGCCCCCCGATTGGGCCTAGACATGCCAAAAGGGGCGCTTGGCACGCCGCCTCGCTCTCCCTCCGGCTCGCGGCAATCAGATCAGCCTAGGCCGAATACAGATGCACAACATGCGGAATTCGTGCGGGAAAGATGCGGAAAGCACGCGGAACACTAGTGGAAGGGTGTGCGGAAACGCGGAAAGGGTGCGGAAGCGGCACGACGGAGAATCGTCGGAGAAGCAGCGGCAACTGGCAATTAAATAGCTGGTTCCGACGAAATCCACACCGCACAGGCTGCAATTTGATCGACAGCTGCTGACATATTTGAGATTCCGACTTGTAGGACTGTATTGGATTTCTAATCGTAACTTGTGACTCAATGCTCGTCCATTGGAGCCAACGACTTGCTAGGTTGCCACCAATGAACGGCCTCACAAGGTTCACTTACACGCAAACGTTTCCTCATGATGGGAAATTAAACATTCTATATAAACACCGGCAGCCCCCTTAGACTCACTGCCAAATCAACATCTCAATACACACCAGCCACTGCCTCGACAATAACAACAACCCATACACACCAGTTCAGTCTTCAGTCTCAACAAGAACAAACCCTCACCATGTCGCCATCCCCCCTCGAAGCAACCTTCATCAAAACCCTCCACCACAAGCCGTACGCAGCCATCTCGCCGCTGCGCCCCGAGCTAAGCCAAGCTGGGCGGACCGTACTGGTATCAGGCGGCTCGGCGGGGATCGGCTTCGCTACGGCGCGAGCCTTCGTGCAGGCCAAAGCGGCACGCGTCATCGTCACAGGGCGCCGCCCCGCGCTGGTGGCCGAAGCCGCCGCCAAGCTCGCGGCCGAGGCATCCCCTGCCACTACCGTGAGTGGGATCGCGACCGACTCGTCGAGCCTGGCCGACACGGAGGCGCTGTGGGCGCAGTTCGCCGCGGACGGCGTCGTCGTCGACGTGCTCGTGCTCAGCGCGGCCGCCGTCGGCGAGCCCACGCCGCTGCTGCGGGCGCCGCTGGCGGGCGTGTGGGCCGCCTACGAGACCAACGTGCGCGCGCTGCTCGACTACGCGCAGCGCTTTGCCGCGCAGGCGGGGCAGGGGCACGGGAAGAAGGTAATTAGAGCATTATCTCCAACTACATCCTTGACGACAGACGGACAATGCTGACCCTCGCAGTACCTCGTCAACATCTCGACGTCAGCAATCCACAACTTTGACACGCAGGGCGAGGTGATGCCGGCGTACGGCATCACCAAGAGCGCCGGCACGGTGCTGCTACAGCGCGCAGCGCAGGACGTGGCCGCCGCCGAGCTGCAAATCGTCAGCTTCCACCCGGGCGGCGTGCTGACGCAGGCGGCGCGCGACGCCGGGTATGACGAGTCTTCGATCGCGTGGGACGACGGTAAGTTGCTTTTTTTCCGTCATTCTTTCGGGTACTGTTGCTGTTGCTGATGAGAAGTAGAGAACCTCCCGGGCCAATGGGCCGTCTGGGCCGCGACCGACGAGGCGGGTTTTCTGCACGGCCGGTACGTGGCTGCGTGGTGGGACGTCGACGAGCTCAAGACTGGAGAGGTTGCCAAGCGCATTGCTGCGGGCGAGCCGACGTTCCTCAGGGTCGGCGTTGTCGGTTTGGCTCCTCAGTGAGTTCAATATGAGGGGTGAGACGTTAATGAGTATGGAATTTGAGAAACATGTGGATGACTATCTTGGGGGCAATATCATAAGATTCAATTTGACGGTCCATCTCTCTCAAAGGCTCTGGAAAGAAAAGCCCAAGATGAGTGAGAATGGTCTCATCCGGACCAGGAGCCAATCAGAAGCAGTGAGAAAGAGCAGTGAGAAAGGGGAAAGGGTGTTTGCATCGCGCCAAAGAATAGGATAATTAAGACAGAAAGACGTAACGGCAAGGTTGCTAATTATACAACAGCCAATTACGTAGTAGCAGCACAGGATTCTCT